CATGGCCCGGCGCCGCTCGGGACCCCGCTGCTGCCACCAGGAAGTGGAACTGCGCAAGAGGCTAGTTCGGCTACCCGGAAGTCTGCTCTGGCTGAATAGTACGAAAAGAAGTAGCCAGTTAGCAGACGTCTCTGCAAGAGCGCAAGGGGAGCCTAGGCTTTCTGGTTTTCCTAATGCGCAGGAGTGGGAAGGCGCCTGGCAGCTGCTGTTCTGATATGCTTAAAAATGAACTAGAGGACTTTAATTGCTGTCTTTCTTTAAGATTTTCTGTAATGATAAACATCAGAATCTTGTTTTTCGTTTACTTTTGAAGGAGCTGAAGTTGTGTTTTCTGTGGACTGCACCAAGCTGAAGGACTATTTTTTACCAGGAAAAAGAGAATTTGACTGTATTTATTTCAACTTCCCTCACTGTGGGAGAAAGTCTGGGGTGGTGAAGAATAGAGAGCTTCTTGCCCACTTTTTCCATAGGTGGGTAAATCAGAAGTACTTCTGTGCTAATTGACTGCTGTGATACAGATTTCTAGCCATGTTACAGGTGTTTTTCTGGCACTGTAAAATTCCTGGGTGTGCTAGCGGGATTCTTCTTGTTGCCTGGCTTTCCTTCCAGTTCCGTGGAAGTGCTGACAGAGGAGGGAGAAGTCCATGTGGCTCTTTGCAATGGACAGGGTGGGACACCTGCTGATCAACCAAGGAGAGAATGGCACAACAGCTGGCAAATAGTGGCTGTGGCAGCAGGAGCTGGATTTATCTTGAGTAATGTTCATCCTTTTAAAGCAGAGACTATCCCTGGATATAAGTGTACAGGCTACAGGTAACTGTCATGTGGCTAAACCGGAAAGTGGATATTTATGCTCTTACAATGCCTAGCACTAGTATGTTCATTTATTTACACACAGTAGTTTGTGTAATGCTTACCTGTGACACATTAAATGTAGAAAATGATCAGTGACTTTGCTCTGCTTTTGTCATCAGGAGCCAAGATAAATCTTTCTGTGTAGAGGGTGCTTTAAACCACATTTTCACACGAAGCACACCACTTCCATGTTTCAAACCTATGATCTGTGAGATAGAACTGGAAAAAGGAAAAGTTTCTTTTGAAGTACCACAAGTACTTGTGGATAAAATGAATAGGTAAGTTTTATAATTAGCTTCTGTTTGGCAGTAACACATACTGGGAACGACCAGCATAGGTGTCAGATAAAATGGAATTGCTTCACTTTCTCTCCTTTCCCCTTTACAGCATTTCCTGTTCCATGTCTGTTTCAAGTCTGTTTCATGTTGGCTTGTGATTATGGCCTACTTAAAAACAAGTCTACAGAACAAAAATAAACTTTATGGTTGAGACCAAGCTGCTGTATACTTCAGCACACAAAGAAAGGTGAAAACTCTAATCTGTGTTATTGTACTGTAGAAGAAATTCAGGAGCTGACTTGGTGTCTGCTAATACCACAATATTAGGGCTAGCTAGGAGAAAAAATGCTAACCTCTTAGGCAGACAGCTGTGTACTTTGGAGACTATCCAGGAATAGCATAATTTGAGTCATTTCTGTAGTTTGGTAATGCCTGTGCTGAGTGGAAATGGCAATGCTGACTGTTAAGTCCTTTTTTTACCAGCAAATGCAGCTAATTCTTGATTGCAACTCAGAGACAAACACCACTGCCCTGAATATGTATTAGCCATTGCATCACCTTTGGTGAAAGGCTTGGCTTGTTCATGTAGTTACTAGAACCGCCTTAATATTTGAGATTGTTCTGAGTAAATTGCTGCACTCAAATGATGATCACAGGGAGGTGTTTCATGGAAATCTGTTTAGTGATGTCTGTAATTTTCACTTTTATTTTTCACAGGGGTTTCCTAGAACTAAGTTCAAATCATCCAGTCCGGACAGTAAAGGACAAGCTCACTGCAGAGCTCAGCCAAGCCTTTCCGTTACAAAACATTGACCACTGCCTGTCTCTGTTCCACCAAGGTCACATCAATGGTGTTTGTCACTCAAATATCTTTTGGATCATTCTGAGCCCAGAGGAGACTCCAAGCACTGAAGAAGTGTCTAATGGGCTGGCAAATGCAGTTTTATTTTCCCATGTTGATTTTTGCAGGGACACAGATAAGAATAGGTGGGTGAATGTACAAGAGGGATGCCACATTTCAAACCAATATTATCTTACACCTTCTCTTCTACCTTATGCTCAGGCAATAATAGAAAGAGGAGCTTTTGTCCCAGGGACACTTCATGTTCTTTCTGGCCCAGTTTTCAGGAAGTGCCTTATCACTCCTTACTCCATGCCTGTGTTTCATGAGATGGTATTTGTATGTGCAGTTAGCAGGGGTACAGAGAGCAGCTGTATGCAGATGTTGGTGAATAGTATTAAAACCAGCATACATTCTCTTCACCAGACTCTTTCCAGCTTTAAACTGAATATCAGTCTGCAGGAAGCAACAAGCTTTGAAGCAACTGAGCTAAATGACTTTGCTGCATTTGAATCTCAGCTTGGTAAAATTCAGTACTTCATCTATATGGAGATAGAAACCTCAGGCTCCTGTGAGAAGGGCTCCTGTGTGGGAGTTATAAGGACGGCTCGTTATGAACTAGTAAGCAGTGAGTTGGCTGTTGTCTTCGCTTCGTTGAATCTTGACCTCGTGGCCATGCTGATCTGTGGAATATCTGACTGGCGAATGCTCTGGACATCAGATGCACGGTTCCTCCGTCAGTTTCCTAGGGGGGAGTTAAGGCTTTTCAAGAATTTTTCTCTCTATCCACCTTCCTACGTGCATGATGTCAGCTTTTGGGTTCCTGATGGGGAACAATTTGATGAAGTTGCTTTTCACACCATTGCTAGGCAGGTGTCGGGTGAAACGGTCGTATGCATCCGGTTAATCGACAGTTTCCAGCAGTCAGAGAGCGGGCGGAAGAGCCTCTGCTACAGGCTGACCTTTCAGTGCTGTGACAAGGCCCTGAGCTGCCGGGAGGTGGCAGAGATGCAGCTGCTCTTTCGGAAGGAAATAACCCAACGCTTGCCTGTGACTCTGCGGTAGGGCGTTGTATGTTGCTTTCAGGTGCTTGAGCGGCATCTGCGCTTGCTGCCGACCTGGAAAACGTGGCCTACATCTTGCACCTAACGCTATGTGTTATTGCAGTGCCTCTTACAAAGGCACTGTGGACTTGGAGTACCTGCACGCGTTCTGAATGTGGAAATTCCTCTTAATGAACACCAAGCACCTTCCTGTTCTGTCTGTGTGTAATGAAACCTCGCTTAAAACAGTGGAGCTTTTCTTTGCTCGGGTTCTGTGAGGTCCTTGCTGATGCAAATTCATTTTTCCTGTTCTTGTTTGTGTTTGCCCAGTGCCTTGTACTGGTGGCGATGGGATGGAGTATGCTGAGAGAGGGAGGATCTTACTATTGCCCGAGGGTTGGGTAGTGTGAGCACTGAAAACTCCGTGCGGGTGCTCAGTCCCTGTGGGAGGACGGTGTGCGCTGGGCTGCCAGTGCCGCGGGTGCACCCGGTGGGGCCCGGCCACCAGGA